GCACCCAGCGATAGGCAGGGCACCAGGGATGCATGTGTGTTTTTGGAGAAGCTGGTGAGAAAACGTCACTCTTTATATGGCTTTGTCCATAGTAAAATTTAATAAGAAGCAATGATAGCAAAGCTGAGCTCATTGTTTCGTGGTACTCATGAGAAGGGAAGCAAATCTCCATAGGGCACGCGGAGACCTGAGCTGTAGTCTCTCTCCAGGATTAATCTCCAGAAGCAAGTAGAGGTGCCCCCGCGGGCTGTCAGAGGCGGCCTCACCCCTCCGGAGAGAGAGCCTCGCCGCAGAAAAAGCGCCATGGTTCCCCCCGGGAAGTGAAGTGCAGGGCTGGGCTTTTGTAGTGTGTACACACACGCACACTCACACTCAGTTACACAGACACACGGTCACGTAGACACACAGTGCTCACACCTTCTACCCTCCCTCCCGCTCACACGCACTCACCCACACTTCCATCCCCCAGGGGCACAGTCACTTCTGGTGCAGGGCCCCCTCGTCTCTCTTCTGTCCCGCTCACCTGTCCACCCGCTGGCTTCGGGACAGGTTGCTGATACCAACAGGCAGCAGGCGCCACGTCGCCAGGTGCGCTGGGCACAGCCCTGTTTGTTTGTGGTTGCCCTTGGTAACGGTGACTCGGCCCTACCTGGAGCCCAGACAGGCCAGGCCTCCTGGGCCTCCTCTGGGGCTACCTTAGTCACTAGTGGGCACTGGCTCTGCCTCCTGCCCTGTCCCTCCCACATCCTGTGTCCACGCCCCCCCACCCCCCCACGCCTCCGGCTCCCGGGCTCCTTCCGGTGAGAAAGAGAATCCGTTTGTATCAGGAGAGGAATGTGGAGTTTGACCTCTGTGGCCGCCGCGTCTCCTCCCTGGAAGGATCCGTGGCCCGGCCTCTTTGGGACTCAGCGCCCCGGGGCACTGACGGGACGCTCACCAGCTACCTGGGTTGTGTGGGGACCTGCGGGTGCCCTGGCCCAGTTGTGACTGAGCTGCAGGCATCCCCCGGGGGGTTGCCCTGCCGGAGGTGACGCAGCCCTGTTCCGCTGCCACTGGCTCAGGACACCTCACAGAGCAGGCAAGGGGCTCAGCGAGGAGGGACACTGCCAGATCCCTCTGAAAAAACGCACTGGCCATGCCCTCAGGGAGTTGTGGGCCTGCTCGGTTTTCAGCTCCATCAGTGAGATGGGACTGGCCCTGCAGAGGCCGAATGCTAAGGCGGCACCAGCTCCTTCATGCTGAGGATGACCAAGGCCACCCGCAAATGACCCAGAGCCACTGTCTTTCCTTTTGTCAAACGGAAATAGCAGAAGACCCAGATGGTCCTGTGAGGGGTGCGATCAGAGGACGCCCTGGAGATGGGGAGAGAAAGCAGGTGAGCCTGCACCGCCCTCACTGGCCTGACCTGAACCCGGGACAGCAGCCCTCGGCATGGTTACCTGGTGTCTCCATCCCGAGGACGTGCAGCTCCCGAGGGGGAAAGCAGGCAGGGTCTGCAGATCCGAGGGGCGGTGGAGAGCCTGCAGCCACGTGGGCTCCAGCACTGGATGTATAGCCCCTCTGGAGAAGCCGTGCGCTTCTGTCTCTCTGGTCAGGCTGCACAGTGCTTACGTTCTCTGATGCCGAGCAGGGTGGTCCACGTGAGAACATGCTGTGTCCTGACCATGATTGCTCCGTGGTTCTGCCAGACTGTGGTCAGCTGCTTCCCTCTTTCTTATTTGAAGGGAGGAAATAGGAAATGTACGTGAAGAATCTCATCTGTTTTCATGTAGTTCCCATCCTGGGATTTTGGTTTGAAGGGACACGTGTCAGTGTGCCCACTTGATGACGATCTTTAGTAAAGTAGGTCTTTGCAGTTCTTGATGTAAACATTAGTTTTCTCTGTACGGACAGGTTGCTTCCCCCCCCCCCACCCCCCACCATCCTTTTTCTCTGAGTTGGTACTTCTTATGCATTTTCATTTGCAAGTTCATTCTAACTCAAGGTCCTTCCTCAGACATTTGCTGTCTGCATTTCACAGCAGTGTGTAAAAACAGACAGTAGGGCTTGTAATCGGTTCCCTGGACCAGAGGCTCTTTTCTGGCAGGGAT